GAACGCAAGCACAGACGAAGGAGACGACACAACAACCTTCAGACGAGAGATCACAGGTATAGCATTTATGAATAGCGACAGAGTAGATATTAGAGGTAGAGCCAGAGCACACAGATGATGGACCTAATATGTAGCACGAGCAGGATATGAGTAGAGAGATCGAGTCGAGCTGACAGAGGAAGAAGCGACCGGAACTATAAAGAGTTAAGAGATGCCTTACTGAACGAAGAACAAGGAGGAGAGGAAGGGAAAAAAGGAGGAAAAAGGATAATTAGAAGGTCATCAGCTGATCGACGCGGATGTATGCTGTCTAGGGTAGTTCTAATGTATATAGTAATGAGTCATGAGAAGGCACTAGATTATTTATCACTATCTACGGACTATCTTGATACTCATTCTCCCGTCTTTCGTTTTTTTTTGTATTTTAGTTATATGGTGTGTATAGAGGAGAAGGAAGTATTACTTATATTATTTGGTTGGATTGTATTGGGTTAATGCTTTATTTTAATCTTTGACGCTGTTTTATCATTTTTCTTTTATTCTCTTTCGTTTCTTTCTTTGGTCTGCCTCTGTCTCTGAGTCTGTCTGTATACTGAGGTACGTAGTGCATAGTCTATGATCCTGTGTAGTATGCATCACTCCGCACTAAGAGGTATGACGATTTGTATCACTTATTTTTCTCTTACTCTCTCTCTCTGTGAGATGGCACCTTCCGCAGCAGTCAGAGAGCTCATCAGTAGCCCCAGACGACGCATGCACGCAGACTTCCTCCGAGATCCCGTACCTGACGAGCATAGAACCGACGCCTAAGGGCAGCCGCAGAAGTATGAAGGGCTGAAAGTATGAGTCTTAGAACGCTATCAAATAGTAGGATTAAGACAGGCTTCCCAAGCTAATGTGGAGGTGGGTTGTAATCCTACCGATGAGGTCCAGACTGTAACCGGAGATTCGCCCCAACGAAGACGTTCTAATCGGGAGGGAGGGGAGAGAAGGAAAGAGGGAGGAGGAGGGAGAGAAGGGAAGGGAGAAAGGGGGAGAGGAGAGGGAAAGAGAGGAGAAGAAGGAGAGAGGGAAGGGAGGAGAAGAGGCAGGAGAGGAGAGAGATAGGGAGGAAAAGGAAAAGGAGGAGCCGGGAGGAGGAGGAGAATAGAAGGGGGAAGGAGGGAAGGGAGAAGGAAAGGGAGGGGGCAGAGAGGAAGGAGAGAGGAGGAGAGAGCGATAGAGAGAGATGAGCGAGAGAAGAAGATGAGAGAGAGAGAGAGAGAGAGAGAGAGAGAGAGAGAGAAGAGAGAGAGAGAGAGAGAGAGAGAGAAGAGAGAGAAGAAGAGCAGTAAGAGAGAGAGAAGAGAGAGAGGCAGAGAGGCAGAGGAGGCAGAGAGGCAGAGAGGCAGAAGACGGCAAGAGGCAGAGGAGGCAGGGCCGAGGCAGAGAGACAGACGAGACAGAGAGACAGAGAAGAAACAGGAGAGGCAGAGAGAGCAGAGAGAATCAGAGAGCAGATGAGAGGACAGAGAGGCCGAAGAGAAAGGAGGGAAAATAAAACAGAGAGAAAAGAGAGAGAGCAGAATAACAAGGGAAGAGAGTAAAGAGTAACAGAGAGAGGAGAAGAATGAGAAAAGAGCAAATAACAGAGAGAGAGAGAAAGGAGAATAAACGAAGCTAAGAGAGATGAGAGAAAGCAGAATACACAGAGCAGAAGAGAGAGAGAGAGGAGAGAGAAAGAAGAATATAACAACAGAGAGAGGTGGCGGATCGGGGAGAACTTCCAAAGAGAGAAGAGAGACAGAGAGAGAGAGAAAGAGAGAGAGGGAGAGAGAGAGGGAGTGAAGAGAAGAGAGAAGAGAAGGAGAGAGAGAGAACAGAGAGAGAGAAGAGAGAGGAGAAGAGGAGAAGAGGGAGGAGAGAGAGAGAGAGAGATGAGAAAAATAACAGAGAGAGAGAAAGAGAAATAACAGAGAGAGCAGAGAAGGTGTTGCGAGGTTCGGTATGATATTGGATCGCGTATATAAGAGAGAGAGAGAGAGAGAAATAAAGAGAGAGAGAAGGAGAGAGAAGAGAGAGAGAGGAGAGAGAGAAGAGAGAGAGAGAAGAGAGAGAGACGAGAGAGAGGAGAGAGAGTAGCGAGAGAGAGAGGAGAGAGAAGAGAGTATGAGAGGAGAGAGAGAGAGTATGAGAGAGAGAGAGGAAGAAGTATGAAGAGAAGTCAGAGAGGAAGAAACATGGAGGATACGGAATGGAGAGAGGGGGGAGAGAGACAGAGAGGAGTGGAGAGGAGAGGAAGAGAGAGAGAGGGAGAGAAAGAGGAGAGAGGGAGAGAAAGAGAGGAGAGAGAGAGGGAGAGAGAGAGAGATGAGAGGAGAAGAAAGAGAAGAGAGGGGAGCGAAAGAGAGTAGAGAAGTGACAGAACAGCGAAGGAGAGTCGAGAGTAGAAAGAGAGAGAGGGGAGAGAAGAGAGAAGAGAGGTGAGAGAGAAGAGAGGAGAGAGGGAGAGATACAGAAA